CTTTAGTGGATTTTGCTATCCTAGGTACTACCAAAAGTCCAGAGTTTTGCGACCTTAGGGAGCGTGATGGATTGTAGCGTGGTAGAAGACTAGTTAGGTATGCAGAAGCTAAACCATTAAGGGCCTTATAGGTAAGTAATAATATTTTGTAACTGATACAGAACTTAATAGGTAGCCAGTGCAGAGACTGTAAAATTGGGGTATTATTTTCATATTTTCTTGACCTGGTAAAGCTGCTGCATTTTGGACTACCTGTAGCATGTTTATTGAAGATGCAGGACAACCACCTAGCAGTGCATTACAATAGTCCAGTCTAGAGGTCATGAATGCATGAATTAGCTTTTCTGCATCAGAAACAGGTAACATGTTTCGTAGCTTGGTTTCTTAATAAGAGGCTTAATAACCGCCAGCTTGAATGGTTTTGGGACGTGACCTAAAGACAACGACGAGTTAATAATATTGAGGAGCGGTTCTTCTGCTACAGGTAACAACTCTTTTAGTAATTTAGTGGGTACAGGATTTAACAGGCATGTTGTTGGTTTAGATGCAGTGATAAGTTTATTTAGCTCTTCCTGTCCTATAGTTGTAAAGCACTGCAGTTTATCTTTTGGTGCGATGAATGAAGTTGAAGTATTATACGCTGTAGAATCTATATTTGTTATTGTATTTCTGATGTTATCTATTTTATCAGTGAAGAAATTCATTACTATTAAACTGTGAGGGAATATTTAGATCGGGTGGCGTCTGGATATTTGTTAATCTAGCTACTGTGCTAAATAAAAACCTTGGATTGTTTTGGTTATTTTCTATGAGTTTGTGGATAGGCTCGGCCCTGGCAGATTTTAGAGCCTGTCTATACTTACTTTGGGGAAGTCATGACCTAATGGTGAGAGAGTCGGACTCGTAACCCAAAGGTTGCGGGTTCGAGTCTCATACCGGCAGGGATTGTAGGTGGGGGAAGTGAATGTACAGCGCTCTCTCCCACCTTCAATACCACAACTGAGGTGCCCTTGAGCAAGGCACCGAACCCCCAACTGCTCCCCGGGCGCCGCAGCATAAATGGCTGCCCACTGCTCCGGGTGTGTGTTCATGGTGTGTGTGTGTTCACTGCTGTGTGTGTGCACTTTGGATGGGATAAATGCAGAGCACTAATTCCGAGTATGGGTCACCATACTTGGCCACATGTCACGTCATAGTGAAAAAAAAAATATATATAGCTGGACATACTGTTTTTCCATGCAATTCTAAAAACATCCAAGTTAGTTTTTCTCCATTTGCGCTCCATTTGCGTTTTTCCATGCAATTCTAAAAACTTCCAAGTTAGTTTTTCTCCATTTGCGCTCAAGACTACGAGTTTTTTTCTTGAGAGAATGGGTATTACTGTTGTACCATGGCGCAGTACGTAAAAATAAAAATAAAGCATATTTCGTTTCCTTTTGAAAGGGTTCAATCTGAGCAGATGATTTTACCATCACTGTCATCGTCAGAGCTCACTTCCAACTGTACATTCAGCATCTGCCTCATATTCACGGTCTCAACCATATTCTCAAAACTATCATTTTCAATGACTTCATATTCAATATTTTGATCACTGGCAGCTTATTCACCACATCCAGCATCAAATGGCAGTGATATTTATATTTCATTGCATATAGTAATTCTGCCCTACAAAGGCAAAAGACCTTAACTCGCTAGAGTGTGAAACTGAGAAAAATGACTTTAAAGATTTTATTTGTCTAGTCAAATTAATTATAGGTAGGACACTGGAAATTTGGCAATTAGATGTTTTAGTAATGAAAATGATTTACATTCAAATTTGTGAGCTCAAACTTGATTTTTACCCCTATTTTGAAGTTACTGTACTCTGCCTTTGCATTGTCTGCAAAAAGTGAGAAGTCACACCAAGGCAAAAGGCAGTAGCCTAACTCACACATTATCAATATTTGGTTGCTGATCACCATTTACAAAATCATTACAGTAACACTTGCATAAAATCTAGTGCTCATGGGCTGTCTCAAAGGATATTACATATAGTAATGTGACTGTATTAATTGTTCCCTATCTGTCGGTCACTACGAGTTATGTCGTGACGACATTATGGGGGTTCATTATGGGGATGAAGAGTGCTATTCTCCACAAAGCCTTTCTTCTCTTGACTGGTAGCTGTTCTGGGTTGGCATTATGGTGCGAACAGCGGTGTCGTCAGCTATTCCCCTGGGCACTTCAATCTAAAAGAGCAGTTTCCTAAACACGGACAGTTCGCTTCTTTTTAAAGATGCCGTTCTATCCATGTCCTCTTGGTTGCGGTCATTACCTGTCTTCTGATGACGGACACGATCGTTGTCTTCAGTGTCTGGGCATCCAACAAGCTGAAGCGGCGTTCGTGGATGACTCATGCGTGCGGTCATTGCGAGCATATGAGCATCGCCTCACTGCGATCTCGCCTCTCTTTGATAAAGTGAAGTGAAAGTGAAAGTGACAACTGATGTCTTGGTGACCCATACTTGGAATTAGTGCTCTGCATTTATCCCATCCAAAGTGCAC